TTGATTTCGATTTGGTTAGATTTTAGTTCTCTTATTTCTCCAGAAAGTGATTCTCTGGTATCTTCCATGCTATTTTCAAGCCCAGCTGGTATCTTTATAATTGTCATTCTGAACTCTAGTTCCGACATTTTACAATGTCTGTATTTATTAGGTCCCTGGCAGTTGGTACTGCCTCTTGTTCTTTTTTTTGAGGTGAGTTTTTCCGTCTTGTCATTTTGTCCAGAGAACAGATGAATGAGAGAACAAAATGCTAACAGGGTAGCAACGACCCCAGAAAAATATACACTAAACAAATCAGAAGAGACCTGAAACTGGGGGGAAAGAAAGGGAAAGAAAAAGAAAAAGAAAAAGAAAAAAGCATGATCAGGCTGGTTAATAGAGCCACACTCTAGATTTTGGGCATATTTTGGTTTGTTAGAAGAAACTGCCTCTCAAAATTTTAAAGAAAGATAAACTTATATATGTACAAAAATAAGGGTAAATACGACGAAGGGATGGAATATGACTGTAAAGATGAAAATTATAAAAGATTTTATAAAAGGAATTGATAAGAAGTTGGTTGAAAAAAGAAAGCAGAAAAATTAAAAAAAAACAAAAAAGGAGAGATTGTGATCAGGCAGGAGACTAGAACAAAGCCATGCACTAGAGATTTAGGGTATATTTTGGTTTGTTAGAAGAAACTGTATCCCAAAATTTTAAAGAGAGAACAAATTACATATACAAAAAATAAGGGTAACTACAATGAAGGGAGAGAATATGACTCTAAACCTGAAAATTAAAAAAGATTTTAAGGAATTGATAAGATGTTGGTTCAAAAAGGGAGAAAGAAAAATTAAAAAAAAAATAGGAAAAGGAAAAAAGAAAAGTTAAAAAAATTAACTTGGAAAGACTAAAGAATCATGGGGAAGAAAGCGATGAATTCTATGTGCTGTATTCCCCTAGTGCTGGTGTTCTGCCATTCTCATTGATCAGTAAACTTGGTCTTGGCTGGCTGTTCTTGCTGATCTTCTGGGGGAGGGGCCTGTTGCCGCGGTTCCCAAATGTCTTTGCCGGAGGCAGAATTGCTCCGCCCTTGCCGGTCTGGGCCAAGTAATCTGATCGGGTTTGCTCTTGGGAGCTTTTGTTCCTGCAAGCTTTCTGTACAGCTTTGGAGGCTGAGAGTGAAAGTGGTGGCCTCCCAATTTCTGCCCTGTAGGCGCAGAGAACTCAGGGCCCCACTCCTCAGTGAGCCGCCAGAGAAAAGCTGTCAATCACTACTGTCTTCCCTGGTCTCCCGCCACTCTCTGTGCTCACCCGGCCTGTGACCGAGTGTTTCTGTCTCTTGCACCCGACCCCGGGTGGAGTTTCCAAACCCAGCAGATCCCTGCGGTGGGCTCCCGCGCCGCTCCTCCCCAGGGAGGAAGGGGAGTCTCCCTGGATCTGCCGCTTGTTGGGTCCTTGCTGGAGGAGCAGTGGCCCGACTGTGCCGCCCATCACAGTTTATGGCAACCTCGAGCTGAGAGCCTGTGCCTCGGCTCCGTCTCTGCAGCCGGCTTCCCTGCTCCGATATGTTGGAGCTCTGCCACATTCAGGCACCCCCGGTCTTCCTGTGACCCTGAGGGTCCTGAGACCACACTGTCCCATGAGGGTTCCATTCCCCCACTTAGCCACTGGAGCGACGTCCCTCAGCGGAGCAGACTTCTAAAAGTTCCGATTTTGTCCTCCGCAGCTCTATCACTTGCCAGCATCGGCTGACGGAGGCCCCCTCCCCCGCTGTCTATCTTCCCGAATATCGCCTCGGATTCACTTCTCTGCACGTCCTACCTTTCAGAAAGTGGTCGCTTTTCTGTCACAGAGTTGCTGCTATTCTTTTCTTCGATCTCCTCTTGAGTTCGTAGGTGTTCAGAATGCTTTGATCCTTATCTAGCCGAATTCCTGGGCCCAGACGAAATTTAGGTCTCCTACTCCTCTGCCATCTTGCTCAATATTTCCTTTAATTCCTTTTAAAATTTAGTTCCTTTTAATTCCCATTTTAATTCCTTTAATGATTTCCTCACTTGATGTTTTTTGAGTTTTTTAGTGGTTTCCTTAGTTCCTTTAAGCGCTTCCCATATTGACCTTATCAGTATTTCCTTTAGGTAATCATTAGGCTTTATTAACATTTTTCCTCTGGAATTGTAATTATTATGATTATAAGTGCATTTGATCAAAACAGTATAAATATACATTTGAAAAACTAAACGTAAAAATTTCTATTGGAATTTTTTTTTTTTTAAGATTTCATTTATTTGAGAGAGAGCAGAGAGAGAGAGCACAAGCGGAGGTCGGGGGGGGGAAGGGGCAGAGGGAGAAGGAGAAGCAGGTTCCCCGCTGAGCAGGGAGCCCGATGTGGGGCTCAATCCCAAGACCCCAGGATCATGACCTGTGCCAAAGGTAGACACTTAACCGAATGAGCTCTCCAGGTGCCCTGGAAATACATTTCTTAATGATATGGGTAGGTGGTTTTCCCCCTCTTCCCTGATTAGTTCATGTGTCCATAAACGAATATACTTACAACTAGAATTTGATAGGGCTCATCATAAATTTCACTCTAAATTTTTTTTTTTTTTTTCCACTCTAAATTTTTAAAATAGTTACAGGCTCGAGTCATAAATAAGTAGATGAGAATTGAAGGGATTTTGTAGTAGCAACATCACTTAGTTCTTTGACTTTCTTTGAGTGTCATGCCAAAGATATGTATAAGATAGGGAAAGACTAGGAAACTTACTTCTGGTGCTTCCTGGAGATTTTTATACCCTAGGCAGTGCACAAAGGAAGATTCAGGAAGGGAAAAGATAGGCCCATTTGGCGAAGTGGGAGGACGGAGATTGTACAAGGGAATGTGGGAGAGGAGATCCAACATGGTGTCACTGTTAAGTACTCTTCTCAGGAAGGTCAGTTTTAGAACAATATATTTGTGAATTGAGGATCTGAATGTTTTTACCTTAAAACCACCCATGCCCATGTACTCTTCAGAAAGTCTGTAGGATTACACAAACAGCATGAAGAAAGCCTTTTAAAGTAGTAGCCTCCAATGATAAAATGTGAGCCAGTCTAAATATCAACATTCAGTATTAGGTTTGTAGACAAAGAATTATGATACTGCTATTCACTGTTGTGTGCAGAAAGTACCTTACATATAAACTGGCATTGAATAAATATTTGTTATTTTAATTTATAAAGTATGTTGTCAAAAAAAAAAGTATGTTGTAAAGAAATGCACTTAATTATTCTATTAACTATATTTACATCCATTCTATCTTCCTTTTGTTGTAGTCTGGTTTCCTTACCACACCACTGAAATTGTTCTCAGTTGGATCACCAGTACCCTAAATGTCAGAAAATCGGGTGGACGCTTAAAAACTTTGGCCTCTTCTTGCCTTTTGATGCACTGCACCACTTTTTATAATTGTCTTTCCATGATTTTTTGGGATGTAAGGCTTTTTTGATTTTCCTTCTACCTCTCTGTTTGCTTTTTTCTTTCTTTTTTTTTTTTTTAAAGATTTTATTTATTCATAAGAGACAGAGAGAGAGAGAGGCAGAGGGAGAAGCAGGCTCCCCGCTGAGCAGAGAGCCCGATGCGGGACTTGATCCCAGGACCCTGGGATCATGACCTGAGCCGAAGGCAGACGCTTAACCATCTGAGCCACCCAGGCGCCCTCTGTTTGCTTTTTTCTAGTTTACTTGCATGTTCCTCAAGTGGGGCTCCATGCCCAGTGGGGAGCCTGATGTAGGGCTGGATCTCACGACCCTGTGATCATGACCTGAGCCGAAATCAAGAGTTGGACACCCAACTAACTGAGCCACAGAGGTGCCCCCAATTCTTAATTCTTAGATGTTGGTGTTTATCAGGACTCAGTCCTAGGCCTCTTGTCATTTAACTCTGCATAAGTTCCCAGAGACTGTTTCTTCTCACCCTAGGGCTTCATTGACACTCTGGATTCATAATGCCCTTCTCTATCTTCAGCCCAGATGGCTCTTCTGACATCTAGACCAAAATATCCGGCTGCCTCCTGGACATCTCCACCTAGATGTTTGCTCACATATACTCTTTGGAACTTAGCTCCTGAGCTTCCCCTAACCTGCTTCTCCAGGTTTTTTTTTCTCAGTAAATGGCACTGCTAGCTAACCAGCTGCCCAGGTCCCTAACCCAGAAGTCATTCTTCATTCCTTCTTTTCTTTATTTCTTGTGATGCCAATTCTACTTCCTAATATTCTACAAAAATCTGCCCACTTCTGACCTCAGTGTCACTGTCCTCGCCAAACCAATTTCCCTGGCTTCTCTTACTCAGAATGACCTTTTTGCCTGAATTTTGCTTTCCTCAATACATGGTTGGCTTGGTAGTGAAACTGGTTCCCCTCCAGTTTTAATCTCATCATGGTGCCCTTGCTTAAAACGTTTCAGGGGCTTCACTTTGCTCTTGAGATAAAAGTCTGACACTTTAACATGAATTACAAGGCTGTTTGGATTTCACTCTCCCTTATCTATGTGCTTTATCTCTGGCTCATCACCCTAGCACACTATACTAGAGACTAAAGCAGCTTTTCCTTTTCATAAAGTTTTGCCTCTCAAATATGTGGGCTTGCACTCTCTGACCTCTGGTTTCTTTGATTCCTTCCACACACTGTTGTCTCTGTGTGGACCACTTTGCTTGGTTAACTCCGTAGCCTCTGGCCTCACTTTTAAATAGCTCTTCCTCAGGTGGCCTGCCTTAGATCTCTGGGTTAGGTTCTATTACGTGCTCAAAAAGTACCGTATATTTCCTCTTTCATGTAGCTCATCACACCTTAATTACGTGTGACTTTCATGGTAAGCTATTTTGTAAACTTCGTGAGGACGGGGAGTCTTTATCTTGGACTCTGCTTTCCTTATTCCTAGTGTCTGACACACATATATGAGCATATTCAGCATCTTTGAATAAGTTAACAATTTTGAGTTCTTGTTCCTGTGATTTCAAAATGCACTTGGTTTTTCTCTTTAGTGTCTCAATGAGATCCTGGAGTCGGCAGATGCGCCTTTAGAAGTCACTGAAGGATTCATACAGTCAATTTCTCTGTCAGTTCCATGGGGCTCCTTGCTACAGGAGAATTGTGCACTGGAAGTGAAAGGGCTAGAAATGGTCTTCCGGCCTAGACCCCGCCTAGGTAGGTGTGTTACATGTTTCTGTTTTGTTTGTTTCTATTTGTATTCTTCACAGATTGGGAAAGTAACCTAATTGTATTAAATTCAGTATTTAATTTATTAGCATTGTATTTGTGAGATTTTCAGTAGATAAAAATACTAGGTCTTGGGAGTGTTTGATTTTTTACCTTTTAGAGTTACTTCTTGCCCTATTTATCCACGGGAACTTTAGTATACTGATGATTTTATTTAATTATTAATTTGTTACTGATTATGTAAAGTGACTTGTATTTTAAAGTTTCAAAGTATTGTGCCAGAAACCAAGGAAATGCTTAACCATTGATGGAGAAATGTTAAAAGGACAGAGGACTCGGCTTGTAGGTGTTCTCGTTGGCCAGATCTGGGAATAATGACAATAAATGGATTATAACACTTGGAATTAAAAACAACTCTAAGTCCATACTGTTAAAAATAAGTAATCAGGATGTAAGGGAGGCAGGAAGAAGGGAAAGCTCTTTATTGCAGTAGAGTATCTACTTACTAGAGTAGAAAAAATGATAGACCATCACCATGTTTTTGGCCACCGTGGTAAAAAAAAAAAAAAAAAAAATTGATACCGGTGGTAATCATCAATGAATGCTAACCCCATTTGGTGAAAGGTTGTTGAGGAGCTTGATACTGAGATGTATCGACATACCTCCCATTGATGACATATTATTTACAGAGAGAAAAATGTTTCTTTCACAGTGGAGGAAATTGAGAGTCACCACAACAACCCTAGTGGTCAATCTTAATCTCATCAGTAGTGGGTCAAACTGCCATGATGTGTGTCCTGAGTGATGGCTGAAAAAGGACACATCATATATATATTGTTCCTGTTAAAAGTGCTTAATTTGAATCACAGCATAAGGAAGAAGGCAGACAAATCCAAAATGAGGGAAATTCTATAGACTAACTGGTTGATACTCTTTAGAAGTATCCGTATCATGAAACACAAGAAAAGTAGAGGAATTGTTCCAGATTAGAGAAGAGTAAGACATGAATAACTGCAGTAGATAATTCTGTGTTTTTGTTTTTGTTATGAAGGATATTACTGGGACAGCTGGGAAATTTGGGTGTGGAATGTATAGAGGATAGTGTTTTGTCAGTGTTACATTTCTTTTTTTTTTTTTTTTAAAGATTTTATTTATTTATTTGAGACAGAGAGAATGAGAGAGACAGAGAGCACATGAGAGGGGGGAGGGTCAG